TGCATCAATGCAGTGGGTCTCTGTTACGTCTGGAACATCGAGAGCCAATCTTCACCACATCCTCCCGTCTCTCTAGGTCCTATCTTGGAGCTTGCGACAACCACCCTCAACCTTAACGCCGCTACGCCTGGCCCTGGCGTCACGTCAGCCGCTCTCAACTCGACAGGACACATCGTTGTCACACTGACAAACGGAGATGGATACTACTACGCCCGCGAGATGTACACATGGCAACGCATCAGCGAGGCCTGGTGGGCCGTCGGCTCCCAGTACTGGAACTCCAACGACTCTTCCATCAGCGCCCTGCAGTCGACCGCAGTTGGGCCCGTCACAGCACCCAAAGACAAAGACTCCAGCGCGGCAACGGTTTCCGCTGGCATCATTCCGCACCTGGAGCGTCACACCACCAACGAGTTCCTGCTCAAGGGCAGAGCATACACCCTACAGCGTATCGTCAAGACGCTCTTGACACGGGACGGTTTCGAGGACTTTGAAAGTACCGTGAGCATCGCGCATCTCGAGAACCGAATCGCCGCCTCACTGCAGATGGGCGCCAGGGACGAATTCCGTCTTTACCTCTTCATGTACGCCAAGCGTATCGGTGCCGAAGGCCTTCGGCTCAAGGTCGAGGAGCTTCTCAACAGCCTGCTCGGTGGCATTCTCAAGGACAAAAAGGTCCAAGAGACCAAGGCCAAGGGGTGGTTCAGCCAGGATGACGAAATTTGCGGGTGGGACCGAAAAGAGCTGCTGAAGGGCGTCGTGATGATTCTGGGTAAGCTCATTCTCATGATGCATGTGCAAGCAGGCATTCACTAACGTTCTCTTTCTAGGTAAATTCCGAGAGCTTCAGCGCCTGACGGTGCAATACGCTCGTGTACTGGACCTAACGCAGACCGAAGATGACGTCGATGATGAGGACGGCGCCATGGATGTCGAAGCGTAGGCAAGTACGGCCATTTGGTGTTGATGTATCGATTACAGCGAATGTGTCCTGTCATCGTTGTATTATATGATGTGGGTGGTTGGGCATGGGTCTTCGGCAGCCGGAGTTGGCGTACTGGTTGGGGCAGCTCTCAGGTGACTGTCTGGTGGTCTTTGTTCTTGCGTGGGGGGTTGAAGCCATCGCTGCGTGTTGCATGCCATAACTGCTTAGCCAACGTAATTTTGCCATGCCAAGTGAAGGGCTTACATGTACAATGGTTTCGCTGCTGGAATGAACGATCTCACCCGCCGTATGCGTTACCTGATCCTCGACATTGTGAACTACGCAATGCCATGTATATCACGAACAAGTTGCTCGTCATTTTGCTTTCCAGGAACGAACGCGATATAGGCTTCTTGGTTGAGATCAGGTCAACTCTTTTTATTTCGACAAATGGCCAACCGCTCACTGGGCGGTTAGAGTTCCGGTTGATGAGGTAAACAGCACAGACGTCCCAATGCATGTGGTGAACATGATGGTTGGCAAGAGATCCCTTTGGCACAGCAACTCAAGCAGCAACACCGCTCGGCCATTGTGCACAACCAGAGTGTTGTGAGGTTGCAGTGCCCAGCAGCAGAGATCATGATCATCTCACAATGGAGCCACCAAATCCTTGGTCACCAACCTTGTCCACGTCATGGGCTCCCTCCGAAGCCACGAAGCATGCAAGATCTCGCATCCCGCAATCTCCAGATGAACATCTCATCGGGGTCCAAACCCCGTCAAATCTCACCGGACGGACTCCCCCAACACGAAATAAAACAAAATAAAACAAAAACCCCGTGACCACCAACCCCAGACCCAGGCCTGCCCGAGCTTCCCACCTCCCCGGTGCCTCCGCCCCTTCCTCAATCTCCCCAACCGAGAGAGTGACCCAGAAAAAACAAAAACCATCTCGAGATGACGGCGTCCCCCGTTTTTTTTCTTGGCCCTTCATGGCTGCCCCCCTTCCACCTCCTTCCGCCTTCCAAACCGTCCCTCATCCGGGCTGGGCCATGGCGCCGCTCGCCCGCTCCCAACCACAGCGTCACACGGCCCCACTCCGCGATGTAACGGCGGCTCACGTCCGAGCCAGGGCCGTGTTGCTGTGCCGTTAGATGACTCGACGAGGGGAGGGGGGGGGGGACCCTGTTGCGCGAGTGGGTCGCGGCTGCAGCGTATCATCACATCTCTCTTCTTCGGGCAACCCATCTCATTGTCCTCATGTCTCTCGATTTTTAGCCCCCCCCCCCCCCCCCCCCCCCGGGCCCCCCCTTTCCCCCCCTCCTCCCCTGGACCCAGACCTTCGTTGTGCAGCGTTTCCTCTCAACTCCCGCCGGCGGTGGGAGATAGGGGAGGGAAGGGTGACCTAAGAGGAATCGGCGAGGGGAGGAGACGAGGCGGGGGTTCCCTGCCGACAAGATGTGACGAGCTTCTGCACTGAGGTTAGCGGGGGATTGGGCGATTGCCGGGCTAGCGGGGCATTCGGCTGGACTGCCGATCTGGGCGCGCGAGATGAGGGTTTTTGTAAGGGGGGATAATGTCCGATGGCGTAAGAGCAACAAGAAGAACGAAAGGAGGAAAAAAATGTTTCAAGGAAAAATTGTTTCGACGAGATGGCGGCCAAGTGACTAGGCAGGGGTTACGGGGAGATTCGGCGGTTTGATGGAGCTTCGTGGTAGGGCCGGGGGCCAGGCCCTCCCCCCTCTCCCAATCAATGTAGACCGCCATACGGATGATGCTTTCTGGCCCACTTGGGCTCTTGGGCATCACGGGCATGGCGTTGTGTTGCTGCTGGTGACTCTGTTGTTGGCACGTCTTTTGTTGCCTGCAGCGTTTGTTAGATGTTACGCCGCGCTGGAGTCAGCACGCGGCAGACAGCAGCGCTGGGTTACCCTGATACTACCAGGTGACCGATTGACAGCTTGGCGGGTGCAAGCACCCTACATGATAGTTTGTGCCCCTATAACCTGTGCCACGCATGGCGACGTCCCAGAGCGGGAGGGACCAGCGATCCGCACCCGTTGGAGGCTAAATCTTGTTCAGCACGCGAAGTCCCACACTCGTAGGCTATCAAACATCACAAAGGATGAACTAGGTACTGAATTCTGATCTTCTGTTCGCTTGGGGCTGATGGAGCCAGATGGTGTTTCTATGGTGAGACATATATGCGGTGTTAAAAGTGTATGGGACGTCTTTTCCTCGAGGCAGAGATGGTTGCATGCTCGCAGATACGGCCGCAGGAGATGCATACGACTCTCCGCAAGGTGCAGCGCGCATTTGATGTCCCCTTACGCCCTGGCCCCTTGAGGTGGGCGGCGGGGAGGACGAGGGTTGCCGCACGTTTTTTCCCGTGGCAGCAGCCTGGAGGGGGAAGGGTAGCTGTAACCTCGTCTCTTCCCGCTGTTACATCAGTACATGTTTCCGCTTGGGCACTGGCGACCTTGTGGCTGCATAGTAGCCTGCCCTCTGATGACGGTCAAATCCGAGACCAGATACACATGATACCCCCCATGGCCGCGAGTGTGCTGTGATCTGCGAAGATTTACAGAAGACCGTGGTTGCTCATGACTAGACGGAGTGGCGAGTTGAGAAGCCAAGCCTTGGGTTCATGAGCAGTTTGGGGAACATGCAGGAGCCAAGTCGAGCGAAAGCTGAGTGCCGATTGGAAAGACAGGTAGTGACAGTAGAATCTTGTTCAAAAAGCAGTCTGAACACAAAATCGTAAGCAGCTTGAGCAGACGGGGGAAGCGATGCTCCCCAGTGATTTGTAGTTACCTCCAAACTATGCATGATCTTGTGTCTTTGAATTCGCATACACCAGGTGCTCAGTTCAAGATCTTGCTCTCAGAGGCTATGAATCCAAGTCTTGGCCTAGATCGTTTGCAGAACAGGCAACCTCATCAGCTTCTGGTGTGATTTGCGAACTCCTGCATGTAAATTGAGAAGCAATAAGGCAACTAGGCTTTCAATACTCACAGCTTCATAGGCACGTTGAAACCAAAACCTGATATGGTCCCTATGTACGCTACGTCATCGCCCCCGGACTATGTGGTGGTACTGTTGTAAGAACACAATGTGCACAGACAAGGCCTCCTCGCTGGTATCTGGACCTTGTGGTCCCTCGGTTTGGCCGTAGTCTAAATCGCGTGCTCGGGCCGGGGGCCGACCAATAGATTGCATCCTGGCAATGATTTTCATCAACTACTTTCTATACGAGGGAGTCATGCCAGGGGAGGAGCGAGGCGCATGGCCTACATTGACACACATGGAGAGCCGGTTCCTTGCGTGTCATGTAAATGTGATTTGCCACTGAGGATCCTATAAGCCTGGTACGAGCTAGATCACAGGTTGGAGTAATTTGAGAAGTTGAAGGGTGAGATTCTGTCGATGGTGGCTGTGAACCAATCGAGGGGTAGTCCCTGAAACTAACGCTCAACTTTGGAAAAGGAGGGAGGGGGGGGCGTAGGTGAATTTGGGGTTACTGGATTAACAGGTTGGTGGGCGGACTGCCTGCCTGGAACCACCAGTGCCTGGCCCTTTGTAGCCCGCAATCACGGCGCGGGTGCCATCCGAAGATCGAGCACCTAAGGCCGGCCCGAATACGGGGGGAAGACGTGGAACAGGGGGGTTCGGAAGACGGAAGGCGGTCCTTGCTGATCTTTGAGACGGAGACCTGGGCTGACAGACGCCAGCTGTCGCATGTGGTCCGTAGCCAGAGGATATGGCGTTTCTGCCTCTCGTGAAGACATGACACGGTTATCGCAGAATGGCTTCATGATGCTATCCACAGTGGGCGATTGTCCGGTTCATGCCTTAATGCCGCTGGAGATTGCATGCATGCCGAGAAATCAAGCGAGTGTCCCGATGGCCCTTTCAAGAAGAATGTCGGCCCCTCAATTCTGCTCGCTCACCCACAACCCGAAAGCTGGAGATGGATGCAGGCAGGGGAGGCGATGCGGAGGGGCGACAAGCCATCGGAGAGAAAAAAAAAAGGACCCTGGTTACCAGCCTGCTCAGGCTGCATGCATGCAGCTACTCGGGCTCGCTTCGTTTGAGGTGATCGGGTCTCATGAGCACAGCGTCTCAAGTGATAGGTGCAAATTGCCTTCCGGTGGCTCAACGACGGAGCCTGTCTGTAGGTGACAAGGTGCGATGCTGCTTGCACATGTTGATTGAGGTCTTGGTGATGAGGTCGAGCGAGCCAGTTCGTCTGAGGTTATCGGCGCCTGTTTCACGATGGAGGGGCCGGTCGCCTGCCTCGGTTGTCGAAGCTTGCTCAGCATAGATAGTGCTTTTGGCCCAGGAGCTCCAGGAAAGATGGTTGGAAGATGAGGTTTCACATGTGAAGCGTTTGCAGTGAGCAATGTCGCTTGGAACTCGAAATGAGGAATCGTCCGTATGCAGACAAACAGGATCAAACTTGGAATGGACAGAGCAAGGCGAGGTGGCCTGACAGCGACTCGGCCAGAAACTACCAGCACCATGGACTTTGAGATGATGGAGAACCAAGATGGAAAAGAGCGCCGGAATGATGTGGTGGTGGCCAGATGCGCCACGAGATTGCATTGGCCTCGTCGTGATGGAGGGCAAGAAGCGATCATCAGGTGTGGGTCTGAACCCGACTTTCCTGGCCAGAGGCCACTGCTTTGTCTGAACACGCTTGATGCCTCCTGCCCGACTGGCTAACCCCGGGCGGCGTAATATTGACAGAATGGGAAAGTACGCCCTCCGGACAGGCAAGACAGGTCACCCCTTGCCTGCCAAAAATGGATCTGTAACAGGTACCTGCAGTTCGCGAGGCAGGAGCTATGGGAGGGTGTCGGCACTGTGCGCCCCGTCCTTCCGAGGGTGGGGTAGTCGAGATCATCCCAATTCAAAGACGGAATCCTGCACAATGTGGACTGTGTGCGCACAGTACACAGAGATGAGACGGAAAGAACTGACCGACCTACCTCACACCATGGGAACTTCCTTTCCCCCGTCGTGTGCCACGCCAGATCTTCAAGACTCCCTGCATCATCTTTGTGCGAGGCATTAGCACAGACCGACTCAGTTGTCTACCTTAAGGTATACCAAGGAAGACGGACAAGTCAGATTGCCCACCGATGTTTTTCGGTATCCATCCTAGATATCTTGGCTCGGTTGCTCGCCCGTCCCGCCATCGGCCTTCGACAGGCCAGGTTGATCGATCAATGTAATGGAAAGACGCCTCTTATCTACAATGCAGACCATGCGAAAAGACTTCACAAGACCCCGTCCGCCTCCAGAACGATGTCTCAAAAGCTTCTGTCCATGCCTTGAGCTATTCTGGTGCACCGCACAGACTTCTCATGACATGGGGGAAGCGAGGCTAAGCCACGAGGAGCATGGTCGCTTGACCAGATCTTCACCGTCCTGACGTCCTGGCCTGGCCCACGCCTGGCAGACACCCGAAGAACGGCTAAAGTACCCCTTGTAACCTCTTCTGTCACGCTTACCACGGACCCTGATCAATGCTGACCTCCGCAAAGGTCTCGTCCGTTGAAGCTCCATGTCATCGCATCTTGCCCGGCCTAATTAGGTTTCCCCAGGCCCCGTCATCAATTGTGTGCCAGTCAGACAGTCGCTCATCCCTCGAACAGGACTGAACGATGTTCGAGCCACCAAGGCTGCCAGATGGATAACGCCTCCTCGATACCAGGCCAACAACAAGGGCGTCCCTCCATCTACAAACCACGCAGCTCATCGTCTTTGCCGCTAAAACAAAGTGGCCCTCCCGCCCCCTCCACTCCGAAGGGGCCTGGTCGGCCAGAGACGAGACACCGGGTGTGCCGACAGAGGTCAACACCAAGCCGTGGTAGCGTGCCGGTACCACCCCTGCTGCTGTTACACTCAGTCTGGAGTCCTCAATCCAACCAGGTCAGTCAGCCAGGTAGTCCATCCGCCAACATACTAGGCCAGAGGACTCAGTCCCTTGTGCCCTACAAGTGGCCGTCTGTCGTTCAAGCGACCTTGTGTGGCAATATGGTCAGAATACCATGCCATAGCAAGCATGGTATAGCCAGTCTACTTGGCGGCACTCGATCCATGCACGCCCTCCCAGCTTCGTCTTTTGATTGCCATCAGCACTCACACCCACGCACGCACACACACCTGTCAACAGAACCGACCACATCTCTCTCCTCATCCTGCTCCCCCTTCTCCTTTCACTCCCCCTACTTGAGGGCACCCCGGCCGGCAAAGCTGCAGCGCCCTTCGGCACAGACAATGCCAGGCCCTGTCGGTCGACCAGGGTGATCATTATGCCATTAAACAACGTCGTCATTGCTCCCATCGAGTTGCTCTAACTCGACGACACCCCCGACCAAGGCCAATCTATCATCCATTGCTTCACAGAATACATTTCCTTGTTTGCGGACTCTCCGTGATCCTTGAGCCGTGCCACGATTGTATCGGTTGAAGGATTAATCTTCTCACCTCTACATCTCTCCGTGTCAGGCTCCTCTCGATTTGAACTTCATACTGCATCAGACACCCCCTGAAAGCCAGACGGAAAGGATCTGCAGCAGAACCGTCAAACGAGAATAACTTTTTTTTTTTCCTCCTCACAACAACACAGGGCGGACTCGTGCCTGCAAAACACACGCACACAAAAATAGGCTCATCCACTGTGCTCCAGACCCTGGAGTACTCTGCGCATCACTCACGGTCGAGGCACACTGCGAGTCTCTACGTACAACTGCCTGCTTGCCTTGCATTCCCGTCCCATGGCAGCTATACCTAGTCAGCTCAGTTATACCCTCTCTCCACTCACGTACCTGAGTCCACCCCCTCCTCAACTCACACGGGGCGCATACAGGCAGTGTCAGTCCAGACGCGGCCCTGACCGTCCATGCCTCGATACGTCGCTCTTTCGCTGCTCCATCCTGCAAATTCTGTCCCAAAACAGACGCACGCGCCAGTGGCTACTCACGCCAGGTACTCTCACCTGCACCCCGTGGGCTTTGACTGCTCTACACGCCTCACGCACCTCCCCCCGGTTCGCCCCTCTGGGCCTGGGCCGTCATTTGCAGCTTTACCCTCCGCTTTACTGTCCACTCCACCTCACCCATTCTCCACAGCACGCTTGCCTGGCCCATCACACCCTGCCCTATCCGATCTGACAAGGGCCAACACTCGATCCTGCCTTCCGCCTCCCGCCTTACTCCGAAGCATAGAGTAGTGCGACTGGCGGGCCAAGCGCAGGGTAGCAGCAGAATCCAAGCTTCTGTGAGCACGGGGTACGGGTCCTCGCAACAGATTGTGTGTTCCGCGTTGCGTCTCTCGGCACTACTCCCACTACATATCTGTCAGGAGCCATCTCTTGACCTCCCAGGTCACGACCAATATTCATCCTCAGAATTCTTGCGACGAGCAACACCATCATCACATCAACCTCAAGGCATTGACGCCACCCCGGTACACGCAGGCGCGTCTCCCATCATCCGAAATCTAGCCCCTGCACCCTGTGTACGATCACCGCGCTTCGACGACCAGGGGCTCGCCCGGCTCGGGACCCTTTCGAACTACCCGCGCTCAGACCTTGAAGAACCCCTCCCACCTTGAGCCGTACAAAGTTCGAGGATCCCCCGCCATTCAAGAGTGCGCTCTACCTGTCGATCTGTCTCTCCTCTGCCATCTTACGGATCGACTACGCTGGATCAAAGCATTTCGACATCAGACGAAAGCGGATTCAGTCTAGCACATTATTTTTCCATCTTGCTTGGGTGTTTAGTCACTTACGAGCTCGAGAACGCGTGCAGTCTTCTTGCGCGAAAGAGTTTCGACAACCTGGACATCTTGCAAGGCAGGAGGAGGACGATTCTCAAAGATCGGTTTTGAAAGAGCTTCAGCATTCATCTAGAGCAACAGATCAACCGTATCCGACAACAGACTGTCACGAAAGTGCCAGACTACGATTTCGTCTTGGCCGACGGGCAACTCCTGCCTGGTGCTTGACATCAAGGCCCAAATTGCAAAAGCAGCAAACACTGGGTCGTTGTACCAGCGGAACTTCAACATCTTCCCTGCTGGTCGGAGGCCGTTGCTTGACAAGATGGCAGGTCTTGCCAATGTTCAGTCATATTCTGGCCTCGACTCTCCGCAAGACCCGATCATATCGAGCGGCGACTACGTACTCACAATGTGCCAAGAGCCAGTCATTGGACTTGTGGCAGGTGGGAAAGACAAGGGTGAGCATTATTGTCCGCCTCAGATCCGTGGGTTTCTGACAAGTTCTAGATCGGAAGCCACTAGACCCTCCCCCGGTTGTGAAGCTTGACGTGTCACACCAGCGCGATCCAGCAGGACTATTCCTATCGAGTAAGACAGAAGCCACCGAAGGATCATATCGTGCGAAGCTAATCAACCGGAAGATCCATACAACTTCCTTACGTGCCATCTAGTCAAAGTTGGAGACCACAACATCGAAACGCCCGTTCCCGGAAACAAACTCGTCGGTACAGTCGTCTCTTCGCTGCATAGGCTCAAAGACAAAGATAATCAGGACGTGGCGTATTTTGTCTTTGGCGACGTTTCTGTCAAAGTGGAAGGGCGTTTTCGTCTAGTTTTCACCCTTTTCGACATGGGCGGTCAAGACTGCACGCAACTCGCGTCGATCAAGTCTCAGCCTTTCAATATCTTTCCAAACAAACTATTCCCAGGCCTCAACGAGTCAACCTACTTGACCCGCGCGATTAACGATCAAGGCGTGCGTGTCAGAATACGCAAAGACTCTCGGCAATCTCAGACTTCGAAGCGCAACAAACGAGTTGCTGAGCGGTTCAACGACTACATGGACAATACTCGGCCCCAGCAGCGCCAAAGAGTTGGCTCATCTGCTGGCTTTGTTACCCCGAGCCTGGGCGCCAGTTCGTCACAGCAATTTTCGTCTACGATCGCAGCAAGTCATGGCAGCGCATCAGCCTCTCTGACACAGCAAGCCTCACACGCGCCATTACGCTACACTCTGGGTTCCTTTGCGCAGCCGAGTCTCAACACAGGAGAAGGGGCAGCGCATGAACACCCACGTCAATCCCTAAGCATACTACCCGGTCTGGCTTCTCACCGGAGCCAGGAAGGTCTTCCCCTCGGGGTCAATTATCCTTCGAGTGGTGTGGGCATAGACAACGTCTTTGGGTCCTTGGCTCCTAACATGAGCATGAATCCGTTCCCCTCACCAGCCCACAGCAGCGATAGTGGCCTTCCTTCGAGCGTCAGCATGCATGGCAGCAGCGGCCCCCCAGCAGATCGCTTCCCTGATTCGGGCCACGGACTGTGGGGTCGGGACTACTCCTGATGTTACTTGCGAGACTCGAAGTTGGACATTGAGTCGAGCGTTTGCGGCGTTGCAGGTGCGATTGTTGGGTTTTCCGGGAGGGATGGAGAGGGGGGACCAAGGGGGCTTGTGATGGTTGGCGTCTACGGCATATACCCATGTGCAACTTTGTTTACTTTCTCCTATGTCGTTCGTGTAAGATATGACGGACCAGAGTCCTGAACCACATATACATGTACCACGGTTCTCTCTTACCCGTCTACCGTACTCTTTGTACATATGAGACATATGTCATTCTAAGAGACCATACTATTGGGGCTTCCTCGCCTCTGACTTTTGCTGTTTATCCCCGGTTGGCGAGTAAACTATGGATGCCTTTCGATCCCGGGTTGGATGCATGCATGACTCAGCATGCTCGTTCCCTTACCCAGAAGCCATGCACTATGGTCAAAGCGTTTCTTGATGCGATGAACCCAGCCTTGTCTACCCAACACGGCTTCTCCAGGCGGACGAGTTCTGCGACTTACATCTGAATGACTCCCATGACCAATCCTGCCCGTCAAAGGTTGACTGTCCGTGACGACTCGGTCTTCTTTCATGCAGTCGCCCACCTGCCACCTCTTCGTCTCACCTGCGACAGCAGATCAGGACGCGGATCGCCACACCCCTTGCACCCTTTGTTTGACCGAAGCGCGGCAGAGGGCGACGACTCGGCGAAGGCCGGCTTTGGGATCTCGGTCTCGATCCGGCCGATCATGATGGCATCTGCTACGTCTTCGGAATCATCGAGGCCCTGATCACCACAGGGATCGCTGGACGAACAGGTCAGACGAACAACGTTCGTCGCGTTCGCGTTCGACCTGTCGTGTTTGATCGTCTCCAGGTGTCGCTTCGTCGCGGGTTTTGGAAAAGAGGGGGGAGGCAGGGGCTGTGCCTCGCCCACCCCTGTCAGCTTATGAACGACGTGTGTGTGCTTTTCTGACGGCGTTGGGCTTGGAGCTTGCTTGATCATAACTGATCAAAATGGGCAACTCACCAAGGGCAGGGGCGCTGGAGAATCCGTTGGTCAGGCTGAATGAAAGATGAGCTGGTTTCTCGCGGTGTGCAGCTGTCATCCTGAGGAGATGATGCTCCGAGAGGCCTCATGGTTTCTGTCGGCCTTGACTTTGGTGCCCAGATGTCAACGGACGGGAAGCTTAGCGTTGGCGGATTCGAGATGCAGAAGACTACATCATGCGATCGGGAAGTACGAGGATGGGAATGCCGACATGTTGCAGCAAGCAACTGCAAATCATGACATTCAGGGCTCATCTTGGGGGGTTGCACACAATCCGACTCTATGCTGACAACATGCCAGGCAGGCTCATGCGGTGAGCCACCGGTCAAAAAGCGATGCAAATGATGATGGATATGATGAAGTCATTGGATTAAGACACAAAGACTGTTTCAAGCACTGCTCAGCACCCCCACAAACCTGTTAACTGTGCGGCATCTCTAACTACACTTCCGTATGTCAAATATGCTTCCGGCTAAGTTTGTAATCGGTATGTGTCTTGTCAACGTTCCCTCACACGCTGTATCTCTGGCCGTACCTGCAACAAGATCACCCTGGGCATACTCCATGATGACCGGGGTAAAGAGTAGAATGAGTGAGAACAATGATGATTCGATCGTCCGGATCATCTTTGATCGGAGGTACCTGGCCAGATTTGTCACAAGATGAATGTAGCCGGCGATTTTAATCAAGAGACTGAGGCTCTCGGAGTTTCGGTCATCATTTCGGTGTTGATCACGTCAGGCGCCCGTTGAAGACCTCGGTGTGCCACATCTACCGTTGGGTTGCAATCCTTCTGTCAGAACTACGGTGAGATCTGCCGCCGAAATCGTGACTCGCTCAAGCCTCAGCCAACTAACTTGCCTCACACACAATGGAACCGCTTGCCGAAAGCCTCCTGCGTTCATACACACGATATGCTATGGGCCAACCGAAGTATGCCTCATCGACAGATCCACCAGCTGTCAGCATGGCAAACCAGTCTGGGTAGGAGCAGGGAGTGGACACAATTGTTGGGGCTGCCGTCGTCTTGCCACGGCTGCCTTCAGTTCCGACGATAGGACAGGAAAACAGGATGTCAACGGTGGCCATCCGCCCATTGGGCAGATCACCATGCCTGGTGCCGCCGTAATATTCGTGAGCCGCCCTATATCAGGCGTCACATAAGACGTGCCGCCATTTATCGTTCGTGTAGCTCCGGACCAACGTGACCTTTTTCAGATTGCCTGATATGGCATGGAAGGGCCTCGATCTCGGTGGTCGCAAGCTTGTCCATCGACGCCGCCTGGTCAACTAGGTCTTTCCGAGCTATTCCCCCATGGCCCTCCAAGTGACTATCGTAGGCGATTTATGAAGTTTCCATATCTCCGTTGTGTGACATGGTAGAACGGGGAGGCCCGCAGAAGCTTGGGCTCTCTCGTGGCCTTTGCGAGCTCCAGAACCGATGAGGTGCTACCGAGCCGACGTGTTTACCGGCCGGGCAACTTTACTGAGCCTTTTCCTTCTCGGTCCATCACACCACACCCTCTCTTCACCTGGGAAGCTGTCCCGTCCCACAGCCAGCAAACCAAGGCAGGCCATGCATACCACCTGCAGCGTCGCTATGGCCAGACGCCCCGGAAGTATCCCAAGTATCAGCGCCTCAACAGTGACCTCTGCAGATCGCGACGCGCACGTTGACCCTTTTATTTGTCTCCCCAGGAAGAATCCGTCGCTCCTTTCGAGCGTGTCTCAACAACCGGATCACCCGAACAGGCCAATACACTTCCGCTTCCACAACGTCGCCGCGCTCGAAGAGGAAAGGCCCCAATCCCAGCCAGTTCACCGATCGAAATGCTATGCAACGCTGCGGCGCCCTCGGCAGCTTCTAGGCCCACGCCTCCCCTGTAAGCTCGACCCTCTTCCAGCTACCCTCTCGCATCACCATCACCCCACACCATTGCAAGTGCCAGTCGACTCGACCTCCATCGAGGTGCCAATTCGCCCCTCCCCCCCTCCCCTTTGCCGTCCCCATGTCCTTGCACTTTCTCGGATGGCGCATATGTGTGTATCGCAGTGTCTGGGATGCCTGGCACCTCATCGACAGTCTCGACTCCGCTGCGCCGGGTCTTTGTCCGACGATTTAGCCTTCAATGCGGTTAGCGTCATCCTTTTCAACCGGACGACAAGGGTTTGTCCTTCACCGCTCGATATCACGATCCCAACAGCATAAATCCTCACTTAACATGACCACTCCAGGATTCAAGAAGGAAGGAGAAGGAGAAGGGCGGGGGGCAATGTCCATCTCAGTTGAAGGAGGGGTGGTTCCCCTCGATGCAGGCACACACGTGTACGGTGCTAGCGCTCCCATCATGTCCGAGAGAAAACATGCTTATCCTGGCTGTGAGGCCATGCCTTACCCAACCACCCAAATCTCTCGTCTGCCACCCCATATGCAATGTCGGTCATCAACAGGCGCTCGTGAACCATGGGAGTGTCGACTCTGGGTTTTTTGCCCGGGCCGTTGACGTCCACTTCCTCGTGCCACGGATGAGCCCCGGCACAAGCAGCCGCGCGCAACCTTCCTCGAGAACAGGGTGTGCGAGGTCTTCTGATGGCGGGGCATGGGGTGTGGCGGGATCCGGTCTGCAGGGCAAGGGGTTTCGACCAAGACCTGACAGGATTCTGTCGCTGGTCAAGAGGCGCGAAGCTGAGGGCATCCATGATTGACGATGACTTTTGGATCAGCGCTTCTCTTTTCCAAAACACATGGCCCTCGGGCCTTCTTCAGGCACATCCTGAAGCTGACGCGCCGATCCCTCGTCCCGGACCAAAGGGATCGCCACTGCCGCTTACCAATGCCGGCAGAGGTTGGGGTTTCCGCTCCTCCACCGTGCTGCTGTGATTGTGCCACGACGGCAGGGCTGCGTCTTTCTGTCGTTACGCCGTCGGGCTGAGGGATTGTAGATACTTCCTCCCCTCGCAGTCGCCCGGAGCGTTGGCCGTAGCCTGCAAGCTGGTGTCGTGGTCGTACCCGGTTAGTGCGGCACACGGGACCGGACTGGGCCCGCGGTGAAGTTCCGCCTCCTCGACGCTAGTAATTCCATGGCGGACGGAGGCTTTGCTGTTGACAGATGTTGCTCGAAGGCGAGGTGCTTTGAGCGATGCCGATGTGTGTCTGCAAACATCGTTGCTGTCATCGAGCGCCTGTTGCTTTCTAGTTCGCGAGAGCAGATTTGATGCATTTTTGGTAATGAGATTCCCCCAATCATGTTAACCTACACTGCTGCGCTGATGTGCATAGGCCTCTATTTTTATAAAGTCAACCTAATTCGTGCTGTCACAAGCACGCAAAATATGACCTCTAGATTCCTGACATTGGAATTCTGAACCAGTATTGTTATGATTACGTCTGAGGTTATGACACGGTTGCTTGCTTCTGGAATTGGTCCCGAGAACAACTCACGGGACTTGATCCATGAGATAGGTATAGGCCATTGTGAACAACGCCACAAGGCTCTGGTTGGTGGACAGAGGTTTACATTCTGCTGATGAGGTTATGCCTCTGGCCTGCACAGTATTCCATGTGGTTGTCGTAATTGGGACGAGCTGTGCTGGTGTAAACATTCAAAGCCGTCGAGGAGTTCATCGACCACTGCGTCTTGAAGTCTATTGTTAGAAACAGCTTGGTCCTCAGCCACGGGGCTGATTCACCGCTGCGCCTGTCACAAGTGTTTGTCGTATATATCGTTTCGTCACTAGTTTCTGGTGGCAGTATGGTGTCAAGCAAATGTGTGGTCCCGCGGATTCCGAGCGATCGTGCAGTACCTTCTCAGGCCTCTTCCCAATGTCCGGCCGGGTTCAAGCATGGAGAGCCATGCAGCATTCCAAAATCCTGGAGAACTTGGTCTTGAATATATTCATATGATTCTATGGGTCATTTCTCGTACCTTGACTTTACCCTTGCTTGTTACCCTGTTGCTACATAGTTCAACCGCTCCGTTCCAGAGTCATTTGAGAAGGCCGGTTCGTCTAAATTGTGTTCTTATAACCTCTTTGTCATCGAGCTGGCCACGGTGCAAGTGAGTGAGCACTGAATCCGATTGGGATGAGATGTCATTTTTCTCGGTCGAATGTTACAGCTCTGTCAACATATGCAAGCAAGTGTTCATAGCCTAGGTACCCTGTGGAACTAAAGTCCCCTTGTGAGTGTGCATATGTCGGCGCCCCCGAGCACCTCGATGGTACCAAGAATGCCAGACAGAATGCTCTGCAGAAAATAAATTGTCGTCATGAGACTGGGGCTTCGCTTTCCAATTGACCAAGTTGCGTAGGATGGCGGAACTCCTGTTGATGCTGTTCTCTTTGCCTAACACAAGAGGAAGAAACCAAAGTGGAGAGACTTCCTCTTAGCTACAACAAACCCACTAGAAGGCAATTGCGTGAGAGCTGGTTGAGAGCAGCAACCATTGACAGAAACTTGGTATTGGTAGGTCACTACACCTTTTTCCACCATGTCGAGATCATCAGCCTGTGAGGATGGGGCTTGATTCAAGCCTGAAGTGATCGTCTCTAGCAGCGACTATTCTGCTTTTACTCTGAACTCGGGATACACATAGCAAGGCGGATCTGTGGCGGCCCTTGAGGAACGTTTTCCTTCATAAGAAGAGGCTTTTGAGCTTGACCATAAAAAATGGTGAAGGTTGCGGATATGGGGATTTTCCACTACCTTAGGCAGAAAGCCGCGGATCACGCAAAGGGTTACCGGTCATTCCAACAGATCACTCATACTTTTCTCTAATAGATCGGAGTCGAAGGTCTTGGACGAGGCCAGGGTCTTGCCGTTGCATCGGAAGTCGTGATACATCTTGCTCATCAACCTGAGCGGAGGGCTGCTGAAGTATGTGGACGGTTTGCCGGCTCTTCATCAAGGTCGCTCCGTACGATTTTATGTCCTTTGATGGCAATCCCACTAGCTTGGGCCAGGGTCAACTTTTACTGATGAACAAATATCAGTAGCTCAAGGTTTTTTCCTTGCGATCTCAGGTTTGGACGAATTCAGCAGGAATGATGCAATCGTGAAATGCTGGTTCAGTCGCATTACGAATCGACCAGTGTGGCGTAGCATGTAGAGGCGGCGACGTGCGACGCAATCAGCGGGCTGTGCAATGACCTGCCATACTTGTAATTGTATTTGACATGCTTGTATCAGCCGGCAACCGGCACAGCACAACAGATTGATGGCGCACTGCCTGGTGGCTATGAAACTTGCGTTCTTGCTACAGGCTTGCTGGCGCTTGCCACTTGTCGTACAACGTTGGCGGGGGGCGGGGAGAGGCATAGTGTCCGAGATCCGACGTCGTATTGCTTCCACCAATATCACGGGAGCAAGTAAGACTTTTTGGTAGGAGTAGGCCCAAGAGTGACGTCGGCTGCCGACTTCCTACGGAGTTCGGAGTATATAGTGGCAGCATAGATCCGATAGTGGGGTCTTGCTCATATCGGTGTCTTAAATCTTGGTGTGTTAGCGAAATCCGCCTCCGCTTGTTATCTGCCTTCAGGCGAACACCCTGGTCAGCTCCAGTACCTACTCTGTTTGACTAGTCTCCAACCTAGGAGCTCTCCAGGTCCCAGGGGGGTATTAGGGCTGATGGAAAACCAATGTTGACTGATGGTAGTCGTTGCCGTCAGATGGTGCATCACGACGTAAGTTACATTTTTCGGAAAGGTTCGTCATGTGTGGAAGCCTATAGCTGCTTGGGCTCACCCTAATATCTTCGGAGTGTGTTCAGTTTCCAGACCTACTGTTCCTGGATAGAACAGCAAGCTGGGTTACCGATCCGCACGCAAGACAGCTACGCCCAAGCTGGTAGGCCAACAAGGAGTAATCATGCAGGAACTTCATTTCTCTCAGCGGGGCCATGTACATGTACATGGTAGACACTCTAGCTCGATCTCTTCTTTTACGATTTACTTACCTTGGTAGTTGTATGATCAAGGCCTCGTTTAGGGCGATACAAACGATTGATCCCTTACAGCTACCTTGGATAGCCCATTACCATGTACCATGCACAGAATCCGATGTATTTGTATTGAGCCCGATGTGTTTTCAAGCAGACGTGCCCTGTTCACATAAGCTGGACACAGTCAATAAGTGAATTTGAAAAAGTCGCTGCCATTGGGCACAGAAGTAGACCTAGTCTTCGGGCCTGATTACATGGTACTTCCGAGAATGCAAGAGAGTGACATCCGAAGCGGGCTGGACCGCAAATCACATTTCCACTGCCGGTGGCTCGATTCATTCCATCAAGCCCGATTGGTAGTGAAGTTTTCAACGTGCATACAGATCTACAAGGCCCGAGACCTGACGTCGTGCCACAGCTAATAAAAGCCGATCAAAGAAACTGCAATCAAGACCGCACAAAGATCTACAACCACCACAATGTAACTTAGTATGCATTACCTCTACTGCTGCCCATATATTGCCGCCGGGTTTCACATTGCACAATGCCGTCGGATTTCAGTTTGTGCCCGAGGTGGGATTGGCATGGTGATACTTCTCTGTCCTACCTAGATATAACACTTGGTTCTTCACAGCCTGCACATGATGCCAAAACCTTTCGTCCCTATCATCACATTTTTAGAAGCTCACCAGTGCAAAGACATTCGACATGAGCCAAAATGAGACCCTCCATGGCGGTTGGCTGAGCCACCCCGCAGACAGCTTTGAGATACAGTTCTATCGACCTTTCTTCACGCTCATTCTGGCCCTTCTTGTTCCTGCTGCTGTAGCAAGCCTTTATTTCAAAGAAGGGGATGACGTATCTCCGAAGTGGCCCCGACTCGAGGCCCAAAAGCAGAAAGACTTCTTGACAGATGGGAGCAAGTATCTAGAAGACAGCAAAAAGATGCACAGCGACGACCCTTTCACCATGCTCACCGACCGTGGCATGAGGACCGTTTTCCCCGCTGCAATCGCCGATGTTATTCGCAACATGACATCGTTACGCTTCAGCAAGTCTGTGGCTGACGTATTATAAGCCCGCGTCTTTAGCCAGTGGGAGTTGTGCTGACAGGTATTAGGAATTCCATGCTGGTCTCACTGGCTTTGAGCCTTTTGCCATGCTCGACAATCCAACTCAAGTGCTGCAAAGGGTAGTGCGCAAGCAATTAACGCAGCGGCTAAGTGTGTAGACCTTGCGGACCCTACGTGACGCTGTGGTCAGACGTGTTAACGAGAGATAGACTCGGTCGTCCAGCCTTTGTCATCAGAAGCTGTGTTTGATGTGCACCATATCTTTGGGAACTCACCTGGTAAGGTCATGCGGGCCGTCTCCGATGACTTTACGTGTACTAACAGAGTCCTGAGATTGGCGGGAGATCAAAATCGAGAGTTCGGTCTCGGAGCTCGTCGCCCGCATATCTTCGCGTGTGTTTCTCGGTGAAGAACTCTGCCGACATGAGAAGTGGCTCGAGATCACGCAGTCATACACCGTCGCATCCTTCAGGGCAGCCGCCATACTCAGGACCTACCCTCGAATCCTCCGACCTCTGGTCAACTGGTTCCACCCGAACGTTAAAGTAATCCGCGGTACCATCGCTGAGTCCCGCCGCATCATTGGTTCGCTCGTCGAAAGACGTCAGAAGCTCCGAGCGGAAGCGCAGGCCAACGGCTTGCCTGTGCCTACATTCAACGACGCGATCGAGTGGGCAGAGTTAGAGGCCGATGGCTATCCTTGCGATCCCGCCGTGTTCCAACTCACGTTGAGCTTTGCTGCGATACGCACCACGACCGACCTCTTGACCCAGGTCATGCTTCGATTGGCACACGAGCCGGAAAATATTGAGCCACTTCGTAAAGAGATGATTGAGATCTTGCAGGTCGACGGCTGGACGAAGAACGCACTCTTCAAGATGAAGCTGCTCGACAGCGCGATCAAAGAAGCACAACGGTTGAAGCCGATCAATATGCGTAAGACGCCAAACCCTTAGGAAATTGTGATTCCGGGCCACGCAAGTTCTCTAACTTGATCTAGTTGAAATGCGCCGCATGGCGGTCGAGGACGTAACCTTCCCAGACGGCACTCTCATCCGCAAAGGGGCACACATTGCCATAAACAACACAAGTTTTTCCCGTGCTGAAGTCTACGAGGACTATGAAAAGTTCGATATTTACCGCTTTAAGCGTATGCGAGACGAGCCTGGCAAGGAGCACACGGCACAGCTCGTGTCGACGAGCCTCAACCATCTGTCGTTCGGCCACGGCAAATTCGCCTGTCCGGGTCGCTTCTTCGTCTCCAACGAACTTAAACTAGCCTTGTGCCACCTCCTCTTGAAGTACGATTGGAAGTCCACGCCTGGGGTCTCGCACGACCCCCTCGTCTTGGGCACCACGATTATGCACAACCCGGAGACCAGCATTCAGTTCAGAAGACGGAAGGAGGAAATCGATCTTGAATCTCTCGAGATCGAAGAGTGAACCCAGTTTTAGTGCGGACTGGTCCAGAACTTTTTCTTGCTGGTGACATTGCACATGGCCGGACCGTGAAGACCGGCCATCTTATCACCTGAAGCATAGATCGATATTGAGGTACAATTTGTTCGCAAAACCGATCCGTGTTCGTGAAGAGATCGGCCAGAGTGCCTCTCACACTGGAGATAGCCTGTAACACCACTGCTACACCATGAAAGCCTTGTGTCATTTCATGTTACCTTACCTGTCACAAGGTCCAGTGAATGATGTTGCCACGCAATTACTTGAGTATAGGGCCCTGGCACATGTACCCTCAGTGTCGCGGAGGAGACCTGCAAGTAGACCCTTCTACCCACGAATCACACGTACTGTGAGGTTCTGTTTGCCACCCCTCTATAAAGAAGAGACCTCCCCCCTTGAGAGGGGCTCCTCTCTTGCTCCTTCTACTGGAGTATTTCGGTCCATGCATATGAAATACATCCACTGAGGTCACCGTTTGAGGTCAATTCAGTACTTAATGGTGTAGTTGGATGTCTGAAAATCTATTGATAGACCGGCGATGCTGTCGGCTTAATTCAGTGCATTGTGATGTACCCAACGACGATGAGATGATCATTGAGTCTACACGTTCGTCTATGGCGGAAGCATGACGCCGTGGTCGGTGCTCAGCAGTGTGTTTTTGTAGTGCAGAATCCCTGCAGGTCTGATCTGATTGATTGCTCTATACCCAGAATGAAGCCCAAACGCCTTCTAGTACCAAATGCAACCATGGTATCCTCCCTAAACGACAAGAGCAATCAAGGCAAGACTTGCGACTATGCTCAAGCTGACACCACTCCGCCCAGCAGCGCTGTCATTGGCATCGGTCGCAGAGGGCGATGCACCATCAGCTGTCGCCGCAGCACCCGCAACAATGGCGGACGCAGAGGCAACCTCGCCTGCAGGGGGGTTATTGTTGATTCTGTTGCAAATCTGGGGCGCGACCTCTGCGGCAACTGTTCGGAATTTTAGTCTTTGATTCACCCACATAATCTTTGACGGAGAGGGAGGTGCAACGTACGTCGAGCATCACTGGATCCGCACCCCGAAGACAGGAGAACGCAGGGCCCGATGCTGGTCGCGAGATCGGTGCCGGAGCGGCATAGACACGCAAAGTCGGTGGAGCTGCAGCCAATGTCGTCGGCGGCGCTGACGAGGCAGCTGACGGCGCACCGTGGGAGCTGGTCGACGAGACCGGGGAGGGTGTCCGAGTCGGTGCCGGAGCCAGGGGTGGACTGACTATTGGACGCGGAATCGGTGGGGGTGGCTTGCGGGGCGACACCGGAGGCGATGTCCGAGACGATGCCCTGGGCCCAATCGGGAACCTCGGTGGGGAGGGAATCGGGGATCTCGACGTTATCGGGAATGTCGATGCTGTCGGGCAGTTCGATCTGAGCGGCGGCGATGCCGAAGAGGAGGACGGCCTTGGTGAGAATGGCCGAACGCATGGTGAAGATGTCTAGTGGTCGTGTTTGTAGTTTTGGTGACGTTCGGGTTTTCAATGTGGATGGGACAGTTTTATGACGTTGGTCGAGGATCCAGAACCGGGTATCGAATTTGAGACGTTGGAAAAAGAAAGAAACGTTGGGGAGCGACTGTACGAAGTAGAGGCCTGAACAGCGCGGGCGAAGAAATCGAAGAGGTCGAAGAGAGTTTCAGAGGAGCAGGAAGAAATGGCTGAGCGAGAAAGCGAGAGGAAGGTGAGAAAAATGAAGAGTGGAATGGAATGCAAGCGGCAAGAACGACACAAGTATGAATTGATTGATAACGCAAGTGCGAGAGCGAGAGACGTGAATGTGAAGAGCACCTGCAAACAGCTAAATGACAGGATCAAACGTCTGACAACCAACGAACGAGATGATCTGCGTGACCCATCCCCCCCTTGCCCCTGCCAGGCAATGAATGAGACCAGCATGTGGGAGATTTGGGAAGTGACGTCCCACCCACCGTTCTCGCCGCAGTGATTCATGTTGATTGATGACCATGGCCAGGCAGGTGGGGCGCCGTGATTGATGGACCTGCCTTGGCACGCAATACGGGTGCACTGCCTCACGCCTAGCAGTGGCGCCTAGCAGCCTAGCAGCTAACTCCCGAGCTCCCGAGCTCCCCTAGAATCCCGGGGCTCCCCTAGAGGGCCCCTAAGCTGGTGCCTCGAGGTGATCGGAACGCACTTCCCGAGAGCGAGCATCTGCCAGCCATCCCACACATCGCCACACCCTAGCTTGCCTAGAAAGGGCGAGAAATGATGAGGACGTCAACGTGCGGAGGGCATGGGCCTACCATATTAAGGTGGGTGGAGTTGAAACGCGAAATCTGGAACAACCACGAGAGGGATCATCAAATCACCATCCCTTACCCCGCCATAGTGAGGAAGAGGGACAGATCCCTCGCTTTGGCTCTGGCCGTGACGCGGCATTCTTTCACAAGCCCGTCACTCGCCCTGCCACATTCGCCCTCTCTTCCTCCCAGCAGCTTGGCACCCAGCCATGCTTTGCCGCATGCCAGACTGACGACCCACCATTTCGTCGAGGAACAGTACAACCTGTCTCATGGCATCCAACGCTGGCTTTCACAACGCGCAGCCCAGGAGCGTGTTGATATAACCGAGGAATGTCCCCGTCAGGCCGTCAGGGTGAGATGACGTGAGGCTCGCATTCGTAGCCCAAATAAGCATCTTGCGCGGCACGCTTATGTCATCGTGGTACATGTATGCAGGTGACGCATATGTCATAGAACCCTGCATAATCAGCCCCCACGGCGTTACCTCTCATGTATGTAAGGTACATACATAGGTCTTCGTAAAAATAGCATCTGCATCATTGGAGGGAAAGATTATTGTCCATATGCAAGCAATGGTTCCTAGAAAGTAAGTACCAGTAAGAATACCAAATATAACATGAAGACATGACGCGGATAGGTGAATGCCTACTGCTCTAGTCCTGCTGAGGCTAGAGATGGGTTTTGAGGACCACGTAGGCGTCACGTCAGGAACACACAATAGAAGCTATATGACTCATCCACAGGTGTAATGTAGGAGCTTGTAATATCTGAGTAGGCAGGCAAGCTATTGACAGAAAATCTGGCATTCTTAAAATTGGGCACTCATATCTACCCTCCATAGCTACCACATCCCTCATCCGTTGCGGCATTGAATCAATCCAGCGGTTAACACGTTCTGGATTTATCCACAATGGTAGCTGCCCCTAGGATCCTAGATTTTGTAGGTGTGTTATGGTGTGGAAAATCGGTCATTTTGGTGGTTGTAGTGGTGTTGTTAGGTGAAGGATTTTAAGAAAGCCAGATTTTCTGTCAACAGCTTGGCAGGCAGGTCGCGTAGGCTTACACGGACAGGGGCACATGCGGTTGCTTACGAAACGGCCATAGCTAAGTAGAGGGGTTCAGGTACCCGTAAAACCAAAGAGCAAGTAAAAGAGACTGCTATCTATTAAATTACATCCTTTTAAATCATGAATAGCTGTGATGGGTTATGCCCAATCAAGCCAGTAACTCGGAACTACGTCCAAGCAGCTAAATCGCAGAGAGGCTGGTGCGCTAAAGCAGCACCTCCTTCCAGGGAAGCATGTAGAATCCCAGCTGTTGGACTCTACCTTGCCTCTTTATCTCGTGATAACCGGTTCCAGGCCTCGCTTTGTGAGACCACAGTGACAAGCTCTTGGCAACACCTCAGTGCGAGTGCTCGGTTAGCCGACAACTATGTGACCCTGGTTTAGGCCCCTGGCCACATACTTACAAAAATGAACCTAACTGAGTAAGACTCTAACTCCTATAACTCCTATACTATATAAGGGTATATAGCGAGTATAATTAGAAATAAATATATATTAAGTCTAAAAAACCTAAAAAAATAGGTCTAGGGGGTGCCCTCTATATATAATAGACTAACCCTTATTAGCTATATATAGATAAGGCGCTTAGACTACCTCTAGACTTATAGGGAAGTGGAGTCGGTTTTACCCTAGCTTTTAAGCTTAGCTAATAGGATATAAGAGAAGTTAATAGCTTATTACTAAAGAATAGCTCTATAGAATATTATAAAATATATATTATTCTATAGCTATATATTTTTTCTTTCTAATAATATATATATCGATATAGTCTAGCTTTTATTTTAGCTACTAGAGAAGTTATAAGACTCTAACTCGTATACTATAATATAGCGTATTAATATTATAAAGTATTAAGCTCTATATAAAAATAAGCTAGTGCGCGAAATAATAGTAATAGAAGGTAATAATTATACTTAGAAAGAGTCTATATATCTATTCTAAACGATCCGAGAAAATACCTACTAGGATTTAGATATCTAGTATTCCGGATATATCTCCTCGAGCCTAGTTACCCTCCTAAGCCCCGTCTAGTATAACCCCTTCTAGAGCTCTATCCGCCCCTTAGCACTATTCGAAGGTTACCTCCCTAAGTACTATAAATATACGAGAATTATAAATTATATACTACTATATATCTAATAGTTACTAGTTATTAAATATATCGTTATAGATAGCATCTCCGCTAAACCCTGAATATATTACCTTACTAATTAATCCTTCTAGCTCGGTTCTAGGGTTACCTTAATATAAGAATCCGTAGTAGATAAAAGCATGCTCGTTCTAAGCATTCTTATTACCTATAGGAGCCTAGCAAAGTTGCAGCATTCAAATGCATACGACCTAATCGCCCTGCGATATGAGGTATAGTACTTTCACTACTTGAATATTGCTCTTAGCCACGAGGACGGCGAAATCAGCGGCATAACCATCACTAAAATCCTGGTCTTGGCTTTGTGAGAAGTTAGTATTTATATGCGTTACGATTTAATTGACTCCGAATTGACGAATATAGGTCTTTTCTGTAAACAAGGCCGCTGCAGATCAACAATTCCAGGCCGCTGTACATATGACCAACTTGCGCCGCAATCCCGCCACGGTCAATATATGGAAGCACCACGGGAACGTGTCTCTTTGGTTGCACTGGGATGGTGTCACAGCTAGGGAGTCGGTGATGAATGTGGAGAGAACGAGAGCATAATGAGCGCCTCTGGCAAGTCTTAATATTTGGCCTGGAGATGATGTTGGATAATGTCACCAAGCCTCAGACGACCGACGGAACAAACGAACCCTATTGTTTCAAGGTAAATTGACACTAAACTTTACCTATCCTGTGTATGTGGTATCTGATATGCTATACCTGAAATTTAGAAACATAGCTGATGAAATAATGCGTCTTATTCCTTAGATTTCTTTCTATACTAGAAATGTTCAATGCCTATTCTTTCTACATAATCATGAAATTCCCGAGTGTTGTCTTTCTCCCTAGTTATCCAAAGCCATATAAGGGTACCCAGGCCTGGTTGTAAGATATTGATGGGATGAAGATAATGAGGGTCTTCGGCTATAAGCGCAAATTGGCACATGTCGCTTATGCATCTGGCAGTTGTCATATGGCCATGGTCAACTGCCTCGACCTGTTCATCTATCGATTCGACCTCTGGTACTTCTCCAGATAGCTTATCCCAAGACTCGAGAAGCATGGGGATCTTGATACAAAGTAGCAACGGGTCCACGAGAAGGGACACTGTACGCCATGTATACTTTGTCTGACAAAAGCGCTGGAACTGCGCATGGAACTTGAAATGAAACAGGGTCAAGCTACATGTCATGTTAGCTGCGCCGGTATGCTACGAGGGGCAATTATATGTCTCTCAAGTCTCACGTACCGTTGATATGATTCCCGTAGAACCAGTGGATTTATTATCCCGTGAGTATGAGCCTCGGCATCGATTCTGTCTTGGTCATATATGCTAGCAAGCTTCAAAACTCTTACTAGGGATGCCTCTACCATGATACCGGTAGGAATAATACGATCTGTCAGGTACGGAACCATGATGACCTGAAGCAGAATAGCTTGTAACTCGAACATCTGTGCCGGCAGCAAGGCAATTGGCTTCATAGCGGCCTGGGACTCGACAGACGCCTTGGAGATGTTAGTCGGATTTACCAATGAGTGAAGTGAAAATTGAAAGGATGAATGATGGAGTTAACAAGCCTAGTAGACTTGCTCGCTATCGTATCATGGTTCAATAATTGATCTATACTCACGAGTGTGGTTCCGGATTGCTCAAGGAATCTTTCTAGAGTCGAGTCTGCCAAAGCCTTGGCTTCCAAATTACCTGACAGATGCAATCCTACCGTAACCACCGTTCGCAAGAGGACTTGCGGTACGCTTCGCGATAAAGTAAGTTCCCGGTGGACGATCGGCCAGTGATGGTGGAACTTGTCAAAATAGATGGCGAGTAGTTTGTCGTACATTAATCTTTTACCAGGACATTCAGCATTGGGATCACTCAATGCCATACTCTGTTGGTCTTCAGGTCCGCCGCACTCATAGTTATCAGAGGATTCCAGTTCTTCTATGATTCTCATTGATGAGTTCCCGTTGGTAGTTTTCCAAGCCTGTGGCGTCGTGGCCGGAGCGTCATTGCTAGCTGTTCGGTTTGAACGACTGGACCAACCGCAACGTAAGGACCGTGCTGAGCATGTTGAACAGGCCGGTCTCTGACCATCACATTTCACCTTTGCTTGGCGACATGGCAAGCACGCTTGGGGCGCACGATTTGACGATACTGTGAGGCCATGGAGGGCCATGTGACGGCGGAAAGTGTCCCTTAAGAATTCTTGAGCCTCCTCATCAACTTTGAGAGTGTAATATGTCATACCGACGTGTCATCTTTGAGCCGCATTTTCCACACGTAAACACCGTCGGCCTGTCGTGCGACTTGGCATGGCGATTCAGATGTTCCGCTCGCAAGTAGACGCGGCTACACCCAGCGTGCTGGCATGTGAATGACATGCTTGAAGGTCTTAGCCGTCAATCAGTATTGCAAAAAGGAATAGTGGAGGTCTCAAGCTTCTCTGATAATGTGGTAAATGACAGTGAACTGAGAATGCCGGGTTGGTTGAAGAGAGAAGCTCTCGTGCAGTCTGCTTCAGCTGACCCACATTACCAGGTAGGTACTGTACCTTACCTTGGCATAAGCTGATTTCTAAGCACTGGCTCACAAGATACAGGTCCGATACTTCATTACTCAGCAATCTCTTCCCAAGTCTTACGTAGTATGATATCAGGCTTCTGGGTTCTACATAGTCGGCGGTCTGTACTCCTGATAGGCCGGTGCGATCTGAATGCACCGTTCCGCTCGTGCGACATCGTTGTGGGGTCTGTGACATGGACTCGCGTTCATGATACTCTTACTCGCGACTCCGCTGGTATTTCTTCTTTTAATCTAACATCTTTCAGACTAGATTCAGATCCGAGACAGGCAGGCTCTGTCGACTCGGCGCTCTCATCTTGGTTGGCATGTCTGCCATGGATGTACGGAACTGGGCTCGGCATTCACCAAAATCGGCCATGTCGACGCTTGCGAGTGCAATTAGCTTACCAATGAGCTCAAGAAATGCTTTGAGATGACCGGAAAATATGCTTTCGTCTTGGAGGAGGAGAATTTGAATGGTGAGAATGCCGATTCCTGCGGCCATCGGCCACAGCGATCAGGCCGACGGAAACGATCAATAGTAGACTTTGAAAAGGAAAGAAAGAAAAAAAGAAAAAAAGAAAAACAGTCATTAACCTGGAATCAATGATATCGAAGCCTGATGCAGCATATACTTGCATTCTGGTCATTGATTGGTCATTTGCTTCAATGCCAAATCTTTCGTCATATGAGGACCTCTACAGAGAATGCTTCGCGATCTAGCACATTAATGCAGTGCAACCGGACTTTGCACTATCATGTAACTTTGAATGAGGAGGATAATAGATAATGGCACTAGGTGGAATATGCAGTATTGCATTCTGATTAAATAAGTTAAATATAGCATTCGAATTTAGCTATTTAGCTCGCTAAAATCGATATATTTACTTATTTAGCCCTATTTATAAATATTCAATTTAATTATTAGATAATAAAGATCTTATAATAATTAAGGATTTACCTATTACTTAGAATCGTTAATATTAATACGATTAATACCTTAATATAGCCCTTTTAATTAAATAGCCCCTCGATAAAGCTAATTATTAAAATATTAAAGCTCTTTTAATATCTCTAGAGCTATTCTTACCTTCTATAACGTTATTATTAACTTTATAAGCCCAAACGCCCTCTTATAGTCTACTAATATAATAAGTATTACTAAGATATTAAGAGTAAGCTTAATAATAATAGGATACGTCTTTTAGCACTTATTCTACTAAATAATGAGATCTTTATTATTATATTCTTATAATAGATCGAGTTAAAAGTATTAATCGAGCTTAGAGTTAAGTATTATAGCTTTTTAATACTTACTTTATACTTAGTCGTTAAAATTTAATAAAGGCTTTATAAATTAAAGTATTTAGAACTAATTAAATCTATTTTATTTTTAATTTTAAGAATAATTTAATAAAATAGAAATAGAAGAATAATAATATTAATATTCTTATTAATAATATAAGCTTATATATATATTATAAACCTAGATAAGCTATTTAGGGCTTAACTATTATACTTTAAGCTATTCGATATTAAGGCTAGGGTAGAGGATAATAATAGCTATATAGAGAGGAGACTCTCTAAGCTTTATATACTATTAATTAAGCTTCTATTATATATTAAGAATAAAGAGATAGAAATATTAATATAAATCTTTATTAAAAGTATTAATATATTATACGATATTAATATATTTAATATAGATATAATCTAGAAGTATTTAAGTAAATAGAAAGAATAAATATTATTAATTCTATTAAAACCTTAAAGAATCTTAGCTTCTCTATTATTAATTATTAGTATATATCGTAATCGACGTAGGAGGTATTAGGCAACGACTGAGGGTATAACTTAGTTATAGAATAAGGAGATAATAATAGATAAGAGGAAGGGAGAGATAAAAGTGGTTATATCTCTAGAAGGAGACGTCGGGTCGAGAAATAGATTGAAGATTCTTATAGCCCTTAACGAGGGCTATAAAATAATATATCTTTCGTTTAGGTCGAAGGTAGGTAGGTCGAGGGGTAATTAGAAGAAGGTTATAATTAATTAAGAGAAATACTTAAATTAATCCTAATAGGAGTAAAGCGTATCTTAGAAAGTATCCGTTCCTAATAGTTAAGAATATATAAATTAGATAGGAATTACTATATAAAGGGGACTTATAAGTATAATTAGAATTAGATAATTATTAAGATCTAAAAACCTAAAAAATAGGTCTAGGGGGTGCCCTCTATATATAATAGACTAACCCTTAGTAGCTATATATAGATAAAGCGCTTAGACTACCTCTAGATCTACGGGGAAGTAGAGTCGGATTTTAACTCTAGCTAATAGGGTATAAGAGAACTTAAACGCTTATTACTATAGAACGGCTCTATAGAATATTATAAAAATTATACCGTTCTATAGCTACGATTTTTCTCTATTTTATAATATATATATTATTATAGTTCAGCTTTTATTTAAGCTACTAGAGTAGTTATAAGACTCTAACCCTTATAACTCCTATAAAACTAATAAAAGGTAATATAGAGTTTTATTAAGAAACGTTAATCTTTAGGTTAAAGGTTTTCTTTAATAAGAACTCGCTTATATAGATCGACTTCGCTTATATTATATATAAGAAAGCTTTAGATATTACCCTTCTTCTTTAGAGCTCGATTAAATATAAAGTATATTGAATTCTATCGAATATTATTATTAAATATTAGTTTAAATTTTATTATTATTTATTAGTAAAAGAGAAAGTCTCTTTCTTAAGCTATTTCTATTATAATATATTATAAATACTAGCTTTATTTTAAAGAAGATCTTATTTATTAAACGATATTATAAAGCTTTCTAATAAGTCCCTTCTTCTATTAAAATTAAAGAATGCTTTTAAGATTATTTATATTATTATAAGATTAAGACTTTTATTTAAACATTTTCTTATTATTATTATATAGGAATATATAATTAATAAGGTTTAAGATATAATTATAATAGTATATCTATTACTTAGTAATATCCTTATAATATAGCTTAGATTATAATAATTAGAAGAGGTTATAAGTATATATATTATTTATTAATATATTATCGGATACTATAATACTAATAAGGTCGATAATATCCTAATCTCTTATAACCTCTATAATAATATTAATAATAATATTACCTATATAATTACTAAGTTATTTATAGAATATAAGAAAGCGTTATTATAATTATCTATATTTATTAATATAGTATATAGATATTATAAAGATTATAATTTAACTTAGAGAGGTTTAGTAACTATAGGAGAGGTAAATCTTTATAAGAGATATTTATAGCTCTATTTATATTTATCTCTTCTTATTAATACAGACATTATTTAATCTCTTTTATAGATTATTCCGATTCTAGAATAAGTTATTAGATATTTCATAATTTAATTTCGAGAATAATCGATATATAAATAGGTTATTAAATATATTAAATACTTAATTTATAATACTAATAAAGCTAAGAGTACCCTCTTTAAGTATTTCTAATTAAGCTCTTAAAATAATAATAGAATATTAATATAGAGGGAGAAGTATATTAAATAAGCTTAGAGGGGAGTCTTCTATAGAAGAATTCTCGAATATCTTATATTTCTTTTTAAGATAAAGATTTATAGAGGTTATAATAGAGGCCTTAAAGAATATTAGATCTTATTATTATAGAGATTATAGATCTAGAAGCTATTACTAATAATATTTACTATATTAAGTAGCTTAATTATAAAGAACTTATAATCCCTAGTCTAGCTTATATAGCCTCTAGAGCCCTTCCTCGTATTAATTATATTAAGAATAAAACGCTAATTATAGTAAATCGCTATAGGGAGGTCGGAATTAGACTATATTAGGCGTAAAAGCTAAGTTCGAATTAAGTTTAATTAATATACCCCGAAGACTATTATAGATATATCGATTATAGTAGAAGTAATAGTAATAGCTTTAATAGTTTAGTTAATATCATAGTAATATAATAAGTAAGTAATATTATAGATAGTTCTATTAATAGAATTACTACTTTAATAGGGGATTTACGCCTCGGTAATTTTTAGAGTAGGAGACTAAACTAGCTAATCGATAGATTAAGGGATATCTTAATATAATACCATTAATCGAGTATTTGAGATCTGAGAGAGTCATAACCTAAGCTTCTACTAATAGTAACCCTAACCCAATATAAGGCTTATGATAGTTGATTCTTAATTATCTGCTTGGGCTACGGATAAGGATATTAATATAAAACCTATGCCGTCTGCTCTTAGCGATCATATATGTAACAACCAAGGAAGCAGGGCGGCCGCGAATCGACGACCCCGCGATCAGGGAGCGCGATAAGATAAGAATCGGGCCCACCTGGCAAATCACGTGATGGCTCACTCAGACATAAAGGGTGAGTCGTCGGGCTCACCAAGGACGCCGCAGTGAGCCAGGGAATGGCTCACGGGATAACACACCGTGATCCTAACATCATGGATCACCAACAACTAACCAGTGAGCCATCCAACATGAGCTCACCACCTAACACAACAAGGACAGGATGGCAGGTATATAAGGACGGACATTCTGGACTTGTAGATACATTCTTTCTCACGACAGTGATCAATCTAAGTCTTACCTTGTATTCATTGTAACGAGTGCGCAACGCCTTACGACACCACATCGTCTCAGAGTCACAACCTAAGCTTCTGCAAACAGCAACCCCAACCCTCTGACAGTGTTCCCCCTTCGGAAGCTGCCAGGTCGTAACATTTTGATCACTCTTGTTCAGTAGGTTTACCTTGTGACACTGAGCAATACTCACCACAGGAACAATGTCCACCAACAGCGTCGGAAACAGCGCCAGCAACCTGGCCGCTATGATCCAAGAGCTCC